CAGGAAGTCGAGGTTTCTGCAGCTGGGGGGGCGGGGCCTTTTATAGGCCCCGCCCCCTGACGCCACCTGGCGGCCGCTCTCGCAGACGGGCGCATGCGCGGCTGGTCCGGCCACCCCATTGGCCGGCCCGTGGCGCGGCCGGGTATAAAACCGGGCGCGGCCCCCGCGCGGGGAGCGGCGGCTGCTGCTGCATCCGGAGCAGGGAACCGGAGGGAGCGGCGGGGCGGGGCGGTGCCGGGCGAAGGGACCCCGGCGTCCGGTCTGGCTGGGACCCGGCTCCGGGCATCTGCTGGCGGCCGGACCGGACCCGACCGGACGGGACACACGTGTCTCTCCGCGGGGGTGAGTCCGAGGAGCGGAACTCGCCGAGCACCTGCGGGGCAATAAAGCGAGACCGGGGCTGGGCTCCCCGGCTGACGGGGCTGAGCCCGGCAGGGACACACCCGGGCAGCGCTAGTGTCCGTGTCCCCTGGGAGAAGCGGGACGGGGCCCAATGTAAAGTGAGCCGCGGCCATGCAGAGGCGGTCTTATCTCAAAACAATAAACTATCGCCCGGCACTAGACAAATGATGGGGGGGTTACCCCTACATGGAATCAATGGGCAGCAGGTTTAGAGAGAAATCCCCTGTTCGGGTCACTCCCTCGGGGGGGCCCTGTTGATAGATACGGGGGGATGGACCTGAGAGATCGGTGGATCAGGAATGGCCATGTTCTTTATCCACCCCCTAGAGTGAGAGTGCGCTTCAATCTTGGGGGGGGGTGACGATGCGGTTCTGGCAGAACCCAACTGAGAGCACCAACTCAGGACAAATTGCTCCAACAGGGCAGTTACAGCCCAAGGCTGGGGTTTTTTCCACCTCTAAGGCACCAAACCAGCCAGACTAGGAGGCATTAGCCTTATACATACTTTGCTGAGTCTCAAGGCGTATCTGCCTTCTCTCAATGGGTCCATTGTATAGCTGACGGTCCTTAATGGGCCATCAAGCAGGCTAGGCAGAGCTAAAAATTGATACACATATAGACAGCATAATCCTAACCAGTAAACCATAACCTTGTCTTAGACCACCCCCACCCCCCCCTTATACAAGATTTGGTGCCACTACAGGACCTTGGTTGCAACAATGATTTATATGGTCCCAGATTATTACAGTTCTTGGTAATAGCAACAATACCATTGGAGTTTGGGCATTTCAGTTTTCTCTTTCCCCCTTGTCCTGCAGGATCAAACCCTGATTTCACTGGCTGACTATCTAAAACTGTTCTGCTTTGAGATGCACAGACTGCACACTTAAAGAACCAGAAAGGAGACATTCCTGTTCCAACACCATTGTCTTGCCAACAAGTTGGCCACTTGGTTAGGAACTGAAACTTCTTTGATTAAATTACTCTCACACCCTTCAGTTGCAGGGAACTGCTTGCACCGAGTACCATGAGGATTCCTTTCTCTAGGAGCTTTTCTAAGCAGCAATTCACCCCTCACAGAAATTTCGCCCTTACCCTCTTCACCTAGGGCTTGCTCTAAAGGAACATTTTCCTGCCCAATAAGATTTTGCTGCTCTTGATTTAACGCCAGATTCACTTCTGACATGCCTAGCCCCATTCCATTCAAGGTGGATTCTGGCTAAACATTCACACTCTGATTCGGAACACACTTGGGGTACATTTGCTTACGCCCAGACAACTGCTCAGAGTTTTAACCCATTTACAGCCCAAGGCTGGGGTTTTTCCACCTCTAAGGCAAGTCTCACAAGCAATCTCCTTAGGCACTCCAGTTTTCCAATATTACCACCATGAAGACAAAATGGAGATGAGGCATTAGCCTTATATAGTCTTTTCCAGGTGTACATACTTTGCTGAGTTACAAGGCATATCTGAATTCTCTCCATGGGTCAATTGTGTAGCTAATGGGCCATCAAGCAGGCTACATAATCATAACCTTGACTATAGAACCAATGTGTGTGCTCCCTGACAAACATATAATAAAGAGGGAACCTACCCCTGTTCCAGTCTGGAGGTTGGCTCTATGCTGGGTAAAGGGGGGGGGGGGTGTTTGCTTGGGTACTCTTACTCTCCCAGTTGTCAACCAACTGGCCTTATAGTTTGGAAAAAGAAGAACAGGAGGACTTGTGGCACCTTAGAGACTAACAAATTTATTAGAGCATAAGCTTTCGTGGACTATTATAGTTTGGGCTCATCCCCTGCCCTCAGTATTCGCTCATCGGCCCCTGAATACAGACAACAGGATTCCTCCCCCCCCCCCCCCC